CAGACAAATTTGAATATGCATAGGTTAAATTTAAATCTTATTTGTATGAATCAAAACTCCATTCACATGTTATTGGTGATCAAAAATTTAATTATTTTACAATAAACGTCCTCTGAACTGCTCTTAAAAGAACATTAAAATTAAATATTAATGAAATTTCTCGGATCAGAAATGTTTTGTATCCTCAACAACTTTGAGTGATCTTAAACATAATGCTGAATTTATTAATATTCTTTCGATATTGAAAAATTTCTATTGATAATATATAATTGCCGCAGGCGCAGCATACTAAAAGAAATCGAGAATGGTTAACATAGTAAAAATAGGCATCATATAAAAAATATAGCCTTGACATTGTGATGATATTTGTTACTAATAACTTCAATAACACTTACTGCTGCTATTCAAATTTTCTAAGAAATATACAACAGAAGTTTTGAGCTAAAACAAAATAAAAAATAAAAAAAGATATTAATAAAACTACTGTCTGTCTACTAAATTCCAATTGTATTTTAATCATCATTTTATAATTCTTCTCAGCTAATAACAGAAGAATCTTCGAATAAGTTACTCAAACGTCGAAAGTTGTTGCTACAAACCATTATCAGTCTATCATATTGCCATTCTCATTTTAACTTTCATGCACGAAGAATTCAGCAGCTGTGAAAGAAGTCATGACAACCACGTATCGTGGTTCTTCAATCTTAATAGTTATTAAAAAATTTTCTCAGATAAGCACAAAGATTTCTTCTATTGTATGTGTGTAATGCTATGTGATCAGATGGAAAAAATGGGATCAGATTGGAATAAGTGAAAAGTAGATCACACGATCACATATACCGCTACAAACTGCATCTAGTTTTCATACCTCACGTACCTTGATAAAAATATATGTTTATTTCTTGTACCTTTTAGTTTCTATCGATGTAAATTTATCGGATGAAAGTTTTCAGTTTAAGCAAAAACAACATAGGATTTCACTTCTTGTTTTTGTTTTTTAAGAGATACTACCATTACCACAGTATTTACTAGTTAAACGCTCTCTATAGTGTAGAATAATGAATATCTCAGAAATTATTAAAACTAGCATCACCAATTTCAACTAACACCATGATCGGATGTACTTCTTTATGTTCATCAATGTAAAATAATAAAGAGAAAAGAGGCAAGTGTAAATGTTTAGGATAAAACACAAAGAAGTCGTGGTATAAAGATGTACAGGTTTATTTCTTCAAAATGCTTGATTCCGAAAGCACAAAAAAGTTGTTTAAATGGTCTTTTATTACTGGTTGGCTCAAAAAAAGCTTTCTCCCTCTGTACTTATTGACTTTCTTGTGTACAAATATGATTTAGCTTTTTACTATTAGTTTAGTCGAGTAGGGTAAAGATTTTTGGACAAAATGAAACGCCTCTGAGCTCTATAAGAGCTTTTCTCATGAAACAGCATTTAATTTATGGAAGGTCCCATAATGGGACCTTGATGGTGGTATGGGACTCCCATACCACCAAAATCAGGACAATTAATGGGAAAACGAGAAAGATACGCTCTTAGGACCTCCCGTAAATTGAATACTATTCCATGAGAAAAGCTCGTAGAGAGCTCGGACGCGTCTGACTTTGTCCAGAAATCTTTACTCTACTAGAGTAAACTGGCCGCTAAAAAGTTCAATTGTATTTGTACACAAGAAAGTCAATAAATACAGAGGGGGTACATTTTTTTTGGGCCACCCTGTGTCATTGCCGTCATTACGTCAGAACATCTGGCAGTGTCATTAAAATATTACAATAATGAAACTGAGAGTTGATATAACTCATTCGCTTGTATTTTATACAAGCAACATAACGCATCCTTAATTATATGTGTGCAGCAGATTTTTCATACTGAAAATTAAACTTCAGTGTTAATTTTACTGATTTTAGCTTAATCAGTCGCTGAAAACTTCACTGAGATTTTCTTTGCAACTGTAATTTGATAAAAATTGTCTGATATATAAAATAAGTAAATCGAACTTTATTGATCCTTTAGAATTGTCTTCGTAGAAAATGTTTTAATCTTCAAAATTGAAGATATTTCAGTAATCTTTCCACGTTTTCTTTCACTATAAACTAGCGCATTTTGTTCAATTATTTTCGCTCGTTCGACTGATACAAAATTTAATGAGACGGAAAAAAGAACAGCGTTACTCGGCTCAGTTGAATGAATATAATGTTCTTTTTCAAGATCAAAAAAGTACTTTTTATAGTCATATTATGAAGTTTCTCGAAACTATCGTAAACTCTCTAAGAAGTATTACTCAAACAATCATAAAACTTTTAAAAAAAAAATCATTTTATCTGTATTCAGAATATTTTGTAGAAAAAATGTTAAGTTGGATGTTAAAAATTGAGTTGAGACCGACAATCTGACCACGTTTACTTTTATTATTAGAGATAAATTAATATTTGGTTATTTATTTAATTTCTAGTGTGTTACTTTACTCATCTGTTATACGAATGTAAGTATAGTATTTTCTGCCAATTATAAGTGTTAATTTTTACGCAGTACAGATGTTTTATTTCATAATCATACAATTGTCAGAGTATACTTATTATCCTTGTTTGAGTACGCAAACAATCTTTTTTACTTTGTAATCCCTCATAAAAAAAAATAACGTCTTTTTTTAGCAAAACTACATCAATTATTATTTGAAATTTTTTCGATTATTTTATTAAGTGACACACATAGGTCAATTTTATTTTTCTTCAACTATAAGATAATTTTTTATTTCTATAGTGGATAATATTTGACAAAGTAGTAGTAGTCATAGCATGAGTCGATTATCGAATATAGAAAATATAAATCAATAAAAGTGATCTGTTTTTTCCGTTAGACGTTTTTCTTTTTTTTTTTCTTCTTCCAACAATATTGATTTATACTGGATCAAGTAAGATTAGCGAACATTTGTAAAAAGAATAAGTTTATCGCAATTGAGGACAAAAATAAGCAAAAGATTGAACGAAAACAATGTCAAAATATTAAATTTATAGCAGAAGGGAGTCAAATTTTCTCGATAGAGAGAGTATTTTCAAAGAATATTGATGACAAAAGTGAGTTCATACTGACTAATTGCACAGTGGGCATTTTTCCGTAGAGTAGGCGGACATCTGATTTTTTGAGTTAAAAAATGATTATTTTCGCATAATATAGTCTTATTATGCGTCAGATATTAATAGAAGTAAAAAAAGTCGAATTTAAAAAAAAATTTAATGAAAAAAGAAGCATTTAATCTGAAAAACCGGGAGTGTTTTGAAAATCTCCCTATAGTGCTAGATACATCTCCGCGTTTAACCGGTTGTACTACAGATGCAGAAACATGAGACGAGTATTTTAACCTCTTTTTGAACTCGACTAGTGCTTAGCTAGCTTTAGCGCGCTCATTTTACTGCAGAAAGCTTTTTTGAGTGCGACTCTTTACAGAAAAAAACGCTCGTGTAACCTCAAATTTTGACTTTTTCAAAAGAAATTTTTTACCGAAGGATAGCCTGATGTTTGCTGATTCCAAATATGTACTTACATTTGAGTAGAAGTTGAATTTAGCATGAGAAAATCGAGCGTTTCCGAAATTACTCTAATTGTAGCCATGTTTTTCCATCTACCTTTACTCCATAAGGAAAACATTTAGAACGAAAATTTTTTCGTCATTAAATTCACCATCGTCCATAGTATATATAATGCTCTTAAAATGAGAGAAAAGTGAACTTACGTTTTTTGGCCAAATTTCCGCATTGTGAATTGACTTTTTATCTAGTCATTAACATTCACTATGAATGATACCAAAAATAATAATTTAAAGTTTATTTATTATGTTCAAAAACTTAATATTGTAAAATACCAAGATAATTTTAAAATGAAAAAGATGTATATGTAGTTTTTCAATGAAACATAATAGTCACTGTGGAGTTTTTTTTGTAGATTTGTCGATAGACCAAAATATGTAATCGAACGAGAAACAATTAATAAATTATGAATTTAAATCAAAGTGATTTAGTTAGTGTTAATTTTATTCGTCTAAGTCAACAAATATTGATTTATTTAACATTTTTTTTGACAGGTTTTGGTATTATTAGTAACATTTTAGCTATTCTAATATTTTATTCACCAAATTTTCGTAAACAAAGTTCTCATTTATATTTACTCGCATTGGCTATATCCGATTTATGTTTTTTAATTATTAATTTATTTGAAGATGCATTTCGTAATCATAATTATTTATATAATTCAAATGTTGATTTTCTTGATCGTTCAACAACATTTATTTGTATTCTAGTTCAATATATTCGTAATATTAGTCGTTTAACATCATCATGGATCGTTGTTTTATTCACAATTGAAAGATTAATTGTTGTATTTTATCCATTAAAAAGACAATTAATATGTAGAAGAAAAATAGCCAGATATGAACTATTAGTATTAGTCATTATTAGTTCACTATTAAATATTAATGTACCATTTCATTATGGTATTGTACCAATTTCTGTAGTCAATAATACAATAACTGCATCAATATGTGATCTATTACCAAAGTATCGATCAGTTTATATGAGCTTTGCTATAACAACAATCATCAGTGTTTATTTGATACCAATGTGTATTATTGGTTTCGTTAATATACTCATTGTTAATCAATTAACAAGTAAAAATGACTCAGATATTGATAGTTTTGATAATGAAAACAATCATAATGCAACCCAAGACGATGAGTCATTGATTAGGTAAGAGAAATTTTATTACACATAGTCAAATTTATAGCTTACAATAGAAATATTAATAATTAAGTCATTGATTAAAATTTCTATATTCAGTTTTGAATGAAATAAACGTTAGATGATAGTAAAATTGAACGTTTTTGTCATTTTGTTCATCTATAGACGATCTTTGTTGACACAGTATCCTAGAAAATTATCCACAATTCATGAAAAATTGGTTCGATTAATACCAACTAATCGACAGACACAAGTCAATTTAAAAACTAAAAAAGATAAAATTAATTTAAGAAGTAAATCATACAGTGTCTCCGATTCTATTTTACATTGTGGATTATTTTCTGAAATAAATCATAACAATAAAATTAAAATATCAAAAAGTGAACCAACTAATACAGTACAAGATTATAGTAAAAGTAATACCTTAGAAAAATATCCATTATCTATTCTTCTTCAAAATCAAGATAATTCAACAATAACACCATGGACAAGTGAGATTTCACCATGTTGTACTTGGAATTCAGCTGATTGTTCAAATCTAGCAACAAATATCTTATTAGTAGATTCTGAACAACAAATGAATCAGGTAAATATTTAAGTATACTGTACAAAAGAATGTTTTTTGTCTATGTTAAATGAATTATTCTTTTTAATGCTAGAAATGCAATAATTCTGAAAAAAATTTATTCCAATCTCAAACAAATTATGTTAAATTTAACGATGAAATAGAACTACCGAGTTTAAATCACGACCGTATTACTCAATCATGTTCATTTACTTCATTTCATGAAAAATTAAACGTTAATTATTCACTCTATGCTAAATCGCTTCGATTACCACAATGTCAACGTAAAAGAATCAATAGTCTAATGCCAAATAATTATCGAACATCAATCTGTAGAAAAAACAGTTCAAACGTTCGAAAAACCCATTTAAAAGATCGAACACAACGTATAACAGTTACATTATTACTTGTTTCATGTTCATTTTTGTTATTGAATACACCCTATTGTATATTATGGTTATTGAATTATTTAAACAAATTTGAAGATCAAAAATTAAAATCAATTAAATCTTTTACTGAATTATTTATGTTAACAAATTTTTGTATTAACTTTCTTTTATATTGTATTGGGGGTAAACTATTTCGACTTCAGTTAAAATATTTATTGAGATGTACTTTCATTATAAATGAATAAAAACTAAACAGAAATAGTATAGTATGACAAAAATCATAAATATAGATAAAAATAAAAAATAAAATAAAATATGATTACTGTTATATGTTCGTGCATCAATAAATAACAAATAAAACAATTTTTCATTTTTCCATATCATTGCAATAGTTTGTTTCTCTTATTTTTCAATTAGTTGTTTAATCTCACTTGGCAGATCGTCATCAATATATTTATTTAAAAAAAAAAATACTTTCGTTTCGTGTCGATATGTTTGAACCATTAATCATTCTAGCATTAACTTATTCCAGATTACAATATTTGTCTAAACTATCCAAATTAATAGTATGTATACAGTAAAGAAAATATGGGAAGCTAAACATAGGCGAGTTAGAAAACGTTTTTCAGGAGAAGCAGTTCACTTTTTATAACGATACATGCAGAAACGTATACGTAATTTTCTAATCCAGAAAAATACACTACTGTGAAATATAGTTCTTCACAGGGCAATCACTGTTTATTCCCCTTGCATCTGACTTTTTTTTTCAGAGGAGCAGTTAGTAAACTACTCCTCTGAAAAAAAAGTCAAGTGCTGTAATTGTCAATTACAGACAGCCAACTGTCTCGTTAATCACTCTCACTAAAGGTAAAACTCAACTGTTTTTCCTAGCGCTGATAAAGATGTTTGAATTTTCGGTTATTTTTTACAATACGTTGAAAAAAAACATTTGTATTGTTGAATTCGATCATCTAATCTACATGAGACGTAGGAAGTATATTCATGACCGGAATACAGAGTACAGAGTTACTACTGAGTTATACATCTTGCTAATAACAGATACGTATGTATTATCTGAACAACTTTTTAACATTTGTTTTCTGGATCAGAATGATTTGATTTGTCACGTTTGACATTTTATCTTTTCGTTTACCTATGACTGTCATATTTTTTTTACTTCATCCTCTTTTTTTGTAAGTAATTCTTTATAGAAAAATAGTTTTGTTAAATGTAGTGACAAATCAATAGTGTAACAATCTACAAAGCAAAACAAGAATAAATCGATTTTGGATCAACCACAGCTCAACTCATGTATTAAAACGAATTAAAGAGATCAGTAAGAAAAAGTCAGCTAGAAATATTGAAACAAAGATTAGTTTGCTAGTAAGTAGCTGCGGTAAAACTGTAGGATCTATGAAATATTTAAGTCGTATCTTATCAAGACAAGCTTTATCTCTAGTCTACAGTTCACTTATCTTAAGTAAAATAAACCATGCTAGTGTTATTTATTGTGGTAGTTCTCAAAAAGATCTGAAGCCATTATTAACAATACAGTACAATGCAACACTTGCTGCCTCAGGTTCAATGCGAGGTTCTTCCCATGAAAAAACTTGTCAGAAACTAGGATGGATACCGCTGACCGTTAAAAAGGTAGATACAACGTTACCGTTTCCTAAATACTCTTTGGTCGATATACATCGTCTTCTTTTGTTTTTTAAAATACTCCGGGGTACCCTAATCATCGGTTCTTATATAACAATCTTATAAGAATCTTACAAGCATCTTATAAGATTCTTATAAGATTTCACAAACTTTTTTTGCCTAGGGTAAAACTCCTTATCATCTACCTGCATCTTTTACCCAACACACTACCTACACGCAAACACACAATTTAGTCAAAATAAAAATACACCACCAGTTTCTAAATTAGCACTGCTAATTTACGAGAACTCCTTTATACCAGCGACTAGGAAGCTTTGGAATACGCTACCGAATGAGTTTAGAGAGATAAAAGACTTTTATAATTTTAAAAAACGATTTAAAGCACCGTACTCGTTACAATTTAAATTGAAACCGATATTTCAAAGAATGTCTGAGATCCATTTTATAAACCTCAGAGTCGGATTTAGTCAACTAAATGATGATGTTTACAAGCGTAGTTTAGAGCCATCCCCTTATTGTGTATGCGGTGATCCAAAAGAAACCCCAAAGCATGTTCTACTACCTTGTACTAAATAGCTGAAGGACCGCAAGGATATGGAAGATACTTTTCGGGAGATGCTCAATACAAATTCTCTTAAGTTGGAACACATTTTGTTGAGACATGATTCAGTTTTACATCTTGAAATCAACAAAATACCCTAGACATTGATTCTTATATAAGGATCTCACAAGGCACTTACAAGAAACATTCAAAATACTTATTAACTTTTTATAAGTTTCTGATAAGATTCTTATATAAGATGCTGTACGAAAGTGATAAGAAATTCGCCGGTTCTGATAAGATTTTTATAAGAAACTTATAAGATATTCATAAGAAAGTAACAAGCCGTCTTATCACTTTCTTATGAATATCTTTTAGAATCTTATCAGTTTCTTACCAATTTCATATGAACTTCTTATAAAATTCTTATCTGATTCTGACCAGAAAACTGTCGTGATTTTGCAGATCCAGCCCATACTCTTGGGTTTCCTTATTCAATTTGCTGCTCTCTTCAGCTGTTCTTATCGAGCTTTAAAATCATTTCAATCTCTTATACTTATTGAATAGGTGCATTTTGTTAGATTTTGTCAGTCTGAAAAGGCGGAATTTATTTATGCAAACGAGCGAGATGTTGTGCCCTGTATTCTCTTGTCACACAATGTTTTTTTTTGAACTTCATTCTTTTCCAATAGTTACGATAAAGTTGGAGAAGTACATCCAGTCTACAGGCAGTGGACCATGAGGGCGAGTCTTTAGACTACCCACTTGCGACTCGGATCTTATTACAGAAAAACAATATCAAGGAAATTTTATTCAGGTGTGAAAGCAGCAATAAGGAAACACAAGAGTATTGGCTGGATCTGCAAAATCACGACAGTTTTCTGGTCAGAATCAGATAAGAATTTTATAAGAAGTTCATATGAAATTGGTAAGACGGCTTGTTACTTTCTTATGAATATCTTATAAGTTTCTTATAAGAACCTTATCAGAACCAGTAAATTTCTTATCACTTTCGTACAACATCTCATATAAGAATTTTATAAGAATCTTATCAAAAACTTATAAAAATTGTCAAAAATTCTTTCTCTGTACAGGGTACAGGAATTATTTGAAAATGTCTGAAATTTCATAGGTGAAACAACACGATTTCACTAACACTGTGGTTGATAGCTTAGGTTTAACCAGCAGATATTTAGATTTACATACCGTTTGGCTCGCGATGCAAATCACTTTCTTCGATTTTTATAATCTCTCTCACTATTGCTTATATGTAATCTAAAATTAAACATTGAAACATCCCCTCTCTCTGTTCTGTCCTTCCTGCTAAACTTCGTTGTTCAGCATTATCTTTCTTCTTCTGTTATTGTTCTTGTTGTATAATATACTTTTTTGACTTTTAGTACATTTTTATTTTTTATGTTTTTACTTCACTTTTTGACAGCATGTGATGGGGTGATACCTCGATTTGTTGTATTTCCCAGGTAAGTAAAAAATTACTGAAGACGGTCGTCATGATTACCCAAGCAGACAAACTTTTTCGAAAACGCGTTTAAGCGCACAAAAAAAGACGAAAAATCTAGAAAAAGTGGGCGTGTTTGGATGACAATCGGGGGTCCCGACTGTGAGCGAAAAGCGCCCATTTTTCGCCCTTCTAGTGCGTTTGCACGCGTTTTCAGTCAAAAACGCGTGTAAATGCATAAAAAAAAGAGAAAAAGTGGTCGTTTTTCTTATAATCGTTACCAGTGACGGGATCATAACTAGGGTTCTCGAGTATGAAAAAAACGACCACTT